GCTCTACAGCCTACAGTTACCGTCCGATTGGCTTGTAAATGGTCTCAATCGATTCCTCGACCCCGATTCCATCTAGACAGCGATTTCCAGGTCACTAGGTCATGACCTTCAAGGTCAAGGTCAAGGTCAAAGGACGGGGAACGCTCTACAGCCTACAGTTACCGTCCGATTGGCTTGTAAATGGTCTCAATCGATTCCTCGACCCCGATTCCAGCTCGATAGCGATTTCCAGGTCACTAGGTCATGACCTTCAAGGTCAAGGTCAAGGTTCTCGAATATCAAACTAAGAATTCGATATTCGGACGGGGAACGCAATAACTCAAGAACCAGTGAACCGATTTTGATGAAAATGCCCTCATTCGATTCCTCGTTCCTTATTGCAGGTTGACAGCGATTTCCAGGTCACTAGGTCATGACCTTCAAGGTCAAGGTCAAGGTCAAAGGACGGGGAACGCTCTACAGCCTAAAGTTACCGTCCGATTGGCTTGTAAGTGGTCTCAATCGATTCCTTGACCCCGATTCCAGCTTGACAGCGATTTCCAGGTCACTAGGTCATGACCTTCAAGGTCAAGGTCAAGGTCAAAGGACGGGGAACGCTCTACAGCCTACAGTTACCGTCCGATTGGCTTGTAAATGGTCTCAATCAATTCCTTGACCCCGATTCCAGCTTGACAGCGATTTCCAGGTCACTAGGTCATGACCTTCAAGGTCAAGGTCAAGGTCAAAGGACGGGGAACGCTCTACAGCCTACAGTTACCGTCCGATTGGCTTGTAAATGGTCTCAATCGATTCCTCGACCCCGATTCCAGGTTGACAACGATTTCCAGGTCACTAGGTCATGACCTTCAAGGTCAAGGTCAAGGTCAAAGGACGGGGAAAGCTCTACAGCCTAAAGTTACCGTCCGATTGGCTTGTAAATGGTCTCAATCGATTCCCCGACCACGATTCCATCTTGACAGCGATTTCCAGGTCACTAGGTCATGACCTTCAAGGTCAAGGTCAAGGTCAAAGGACGGGGAACGCTCTACAGCCTAAAGTTACCGTCCGATTGGCTTGTAAATGGTCTCAATCGATTCCTCGACCCCGATTCCAGCTTGACAGCGATTTCCAGGTCATTAGGTCATGACCTTCAAGGTCAAGGTCAAGGTCAAAGGACGGGGAACGCTCTACAGCCTACAGTTACCGTCCGATTGGCTTGTAAATGGTCTCAATCGATTCCTCGACCCCGATTCCAGCTTGACAGCGATTTCCAGGTCACTAGGTCATGACCTTCAAGGTCAAGGTCAAGGTCAAAGGACGGGGAACGCTCTACAGCCTAAAGTTACCGTCCGATTGGCTTGTAAATGGTCTCAATCGATTCCTCGACCCCGATTCCAGCTTGACAGCGATTTCCAGGTCACTAGGTCATGACCTTCAAGGTCAAGGTCAAGGTCAAAGGACGGGGAACGCTCTACAGCCTAAAGTTACCGTCCGATTGGCTTGTAAATGGTCTCAATCGATTCCCCGACCCCGATTCCAGCTTGACAGCGATTTCCAGGTCACTAGGTCATGACCTTCAAGGTCAAGGTCAAGGTTCTCGAATATCAAACTAAGAATTCGATATTCGGACGGGGAACGCAATAACTCAAGAACCAGTGAACCGATTTTGATGAAAATGCCCTCATTCGATTCCTCGTTCCTTATTGCAGGTTGACAGCGATTTCCAGGTCACTAGGTCATGACCTTCAAGGTCAAGGTCAAGGTCAAAGGACGGGGAACGCTCTACAGCCTAAAGTTACCGTCCGATTGGCTTGTAAATGATCTCAATCGATTCCTCAACCCCGATTCCAGCTTGACAGCGATTTCCAGGTCACTAGGTCATGACCTTCAAGGTCAAGGTCAAGGTCAAAGGACGGGGAACGCTCTACAGCCTAAAGTTACCGTCCGATTGGCTTGTAAATGGTCTCAATCGATTCCTCGACCCCGATTCGAGCTTGACAGCGATTTCCAGGTCACTAGGTCATGACCTTCAAGGTCAAGGTCAAGGTCAAAGGACGGGGAACGCTCTACAGCCTACAGTTACCGTCCGATTGGCTTGTAAATGGTCTCAATCGATTCCTCGACCCCGATTCCAGCTTGACAGCGATTTCCAGGTCACTAGGTCATGACCTTCAAGGTCAAGGTCAAGGTCAAAGGACGGGGAACGCTCTACAGCCTAAAGTTACCGTCTGATTGGCTTGTAAATGGTCTCAATCGATTCCCCGACCCCGATTCCAGGTTGACAGCGATTTCCAGGTCACTAGGTCATGACCTTCAAGGTCAAGGTCAAGGTCAAAGGACGGGGAACGCTCTACAGCCTAAAGTTACCGTCCGATTGGCTTGTAAATGGTCTCAATCGATTCCTCGACCCCGATTCCAGCTTGACAGCGATTTCCAGGTCACTAGGTCATGACCTTCAAGGTCAAGGTCAAGGTCAAAGGACGGGGAACGCTCTACAGCCTAAAGTTACCGTCAGATTGGCTTGTAAATGGTCTCAATCGATTCCCCGACCCCGATTCCAACTTGACAGCGATTTCCAGGTCACTAGGTCATGACCTTCAAGGTCAAGGTCAAGGTCAAAGGACGGGGAACGCTCTACAGCCTACAGTTACCGTCCGATTGGCTTGTAAATGGTCTCAATCGATTCCTTGACCCCGATTCCAGCTTGACAGCGATTTCCAGGTCACTAGGTCATGACCTTCTGGTCATGACCTAGTGACAGGTCAACGGTCACTAGTGGTCGGTCACTGTATTAATCCGTTAATAGTGGTCATGAACTAACGGTCATGACCACTAGGTCATGACCGTTAGTTGACCTTGACCTTGACCTTGAAGGTCATGACCTAGTGACCTGGAAATCGCTGTCAAGCTCGAATCGGGGTCGAGGAATCGATTGAGACCATTTACAAGCCAATCGGACGGTAACTGTAGGCTGTAGAGCGTTCCCCGTCCTTTGACCTTGACCTTGACCTTGAAGGTCATGACCTAGTGACCTGGAAATCGCTGTCAACCTGGAATCGGGGTCGGGGAATCGATTGAGACCATTTACAAGCCAATCGGACGGTAACTTTAGGCTGTAGAGCGTTCCCCGTCCTTTGACCTTGACCTTTACCTTGAAGGTCATGACCTAGTGACCTGGAAATCGCTGTCAAGCTGGAATCGGGGTCAAGGAATTGATTGAGACCATTTACAAGCCAATCGGACGGTAACTTTAGGCTGTAGAGCGTTCCCCGTCCTTTGACCTTGACCTTGACCTTGAAGGTCATGACCTAGTGACCTGGAAATCGCTGTCAAGCTGGAATCGGGGTCGGGGAATCGATTGAGACCATTTACAAGCCAATCGGACGGTAACTTTAGGCTGTAGAGCGTTCCCCGTCCTTTGACCTTGACCTTGACCTTGAAGGTCATGACCTAGTGACCTGGAAATCGCTGTCAAGCTGGAATCGGGGTCGAGGAATCGATTGAGACCATTTACAAGCCAATCGGACGGTAACTTTAGGCTGTAGAGCGTTCCCCGTCCTTTGACCTTGACCTTGACCTTGAAGGTCATGACCTAGTGACCTGGAAATCGCTGTCAAGCTGGAATCGGGGTCGAGGAATCGATTGAGACCATTTACAAGCCAATCGGACGGTAACTTTAGGCTGTAGAGCGTTCCCCGTCCTTTGACCTTGACCTTGACCTTGAAGGTCATGACGTAGTGACCTGGAAATCGCTGTCAAGCTGGAATCGGGGTCGAGGAATCGATTGAGACCATTTACAAGTCAATCGGACGGTAACTTTAGGCTGTAGAGCGTTCCCCGTCCTTTGACCTTGACCTTGACCTTGAAGGTCATGACCTAGTGACCTGGAAATCGCTGTCAAGCTGGAATCGGGGTCGAGGAATCGATTGAGACCATTTACAAGCCAATCGGACGGTAACTTTAGGCTGTAGAGCGTTCCCCGTCCTTTGACCTTGACCTTGACCTTGAAGGTCATGACCTAGTGACCTGGAAATCGCTGTCAACCTGCAATAAGGAACGAGGAATCGAATGAGGGCATTTTCATCAAGATCGGTTCACTGGTTCTTGAGTTATTGCGTTCCCCGTCCGAATATCGAATTTTTAGTTTGATATTCGCGAACCTTGACCTTGACCTTGAAGGTCATGACCTAGTGACCTGGAAATCGCAGTCAACCTGGAATCGGGGTCGGGGAATCGATTGAGACCATTTACAAGCCAATCGGACGGTAACTTTAGGCTGTAGAGCGTTCCCCGTCTTTTGACCTTGACCTTGACCTTGAAGGTCATGACCTAGTGACCTGGAAATCGCTGTCAAGCTGGAATCGGGGTCGAGGAATCGATTGAGACCATTTATAAGCCAATCGGACGGTAACTTTAGGCTGTAGAGCGTTCCCCGTCCTTTGACCTTGACCTTGACCTTGAAGGTCATGACCTAGTGACCTGGAAATCGCTGTCAAACTGGAATCGGGGTCGAGGAATCGATTGAGACCATTTACAAGCCAATCGGACGGTAACTTTAGGCTGTAGAGCGTTCCCCGTCCTTTGACCTTGACCTTGAAGGTCATGACCTAGTGACCTGGAAATCGCTGTCAAGCTGGAATCGGGGTCGAGGAATCGATTGAGACCATTTACAAGCCAATCGGACGGTAACTTTAGGCTGTAGAGCGTTCCCCGTCCTTTGACCTTGACTTTGACCTTGAAGGTCATGACCTAGTGACCTGGAAATCGCTGTCAACCTGCAATAAGGAACGGGGAATCGAATGAGGGCATTTTCATCAAAATCGGTTCACTGGTTCTTGAGTTATTGCGTTCCCCGTCCGAATATCGAATTTTTAGTTTGATATTCGCGAATATCAATCTGCTGCTCAATTGATGGACGTTCTAAGTATGCAAATAAATTGTAAAATTAAAATGATGAAATTGTTTTATCTTTTTCTAGTGTGTGCACTGTGCGTGGAACTGGAATTGGAATATTTTATTCTGGCGTCGTGCCCAAACTGTATGTGTGCTGCAGCCTGTCAATAAATATGATTGCAGAAGAGCTCTTGGATGCTGAAATATTTTATAAATTGCAAAAATTGCAGATGAACTATTCAATATTTTATTGTTTTTGTGTTTTTGCATGCAGTAAATATTTAGTAGATAAGCATCCTCTTGGCATATTGATGCCAAATACCGTCGGGTCTGTTACGGCAGTAATGGCGCATATTCTACAAAAGTGAAGCACTGCTGGCTTGTGGTCACTGAACCTTGTGGTAGAATTTGGGAGTTAAACCTTGGGGAGTTTCTGTGCAGTTTTTTTTCTCGGTATTTTTATGTTTCGATTGACCAGAGGGGTCTCTTCTATTGTTTTCAATTCGAGCACCATACCTTGTGCGCGCCAGTGCAGAAAAATGAGTTCGGAAGTCGTCAACCGCCTGGAGAATCGAGCTAAGCAGGCTGATGACATCATTCAGCATCTGAAGAAAGAGGTGAGATTCCTAATCGCTGGCTGCTGATATAAGGCAAACTGGCAGATCAAGATACCCACCAGCCAGGGCCCTGTTTCACCAGTGATAGCAGCACGCTGCTATTCCATTTCGTGAGTTGACATCACACTTCTGGGCCCTGTTTCACCTATAGACCTCGTAGCGCAAAACAAAGACCACCATTAGACTCCCTGTGACGAGGTTTCACCAGTGATAGCAGCATGCTACTATCAAATGACACATGTAATAGCAGCGTGCTGCTATCACCGCCCACCGGTGAAACAGGGCCCTGGTAGTGTTGGAGGAATAGCCTGACGTCTCCATGACCATGGAAACCCAATTTGACACGTATAATACCAGCATGCTGCTATCACCGGTGAAACAGGGCCAAGGACCCAGGGGCTGAATTTCAAAGCATGCCTATGTGGACAAGATCTTGTCGGTGCTATGGCACTTGGCTGGTACCTATGTTGATATAGCTTGGTTTAACATTGTTGTGGCGCTGATTCTGTAAAGCTGTGGCCTGTGGGTATTCATATAGCTGGTGTCTCACATGCTGTTACCTATTATTGAAATTTCAAAAACACCACTAGACTGTTCAGTTCTTGAGATATTTACACAAATTTCATTTGTAAAAGTTTCATACCAGTCATACCAATACAACAACTTGCATAACAAAACATAATCTTACCTGACCTTACCTCACCTTCTGACCTGACCTATAACCTACCACATACAAACCTAAAACCTACAATCTACCAATGTGCAGCCAACAGCAAAATTTGTGTAAACATCTCAAGAACTGGAGTCTAATGACTTGAAAAACAGGTGGCAGCATGTGAGATGCCTCAGCCTGCTTTATCATTACCCAGCTCTGCACACTCCAGCTCATCACTGTGCTGTGCTTGTGCAGAAATTATGAACTAATCTAGAAACAATGAATGAAACTGTTGGAGCAAGGAACAAAAATCCTTTAAAAGCAGTTTTCTCTTCAGCAACAAAAGGACTTTCATTTTCATAGTAAAACCCTTAGGCCATGTTTGGTGTGAGTTAAGGCAAATGTCCAGCCTTGTTGTTGGTGTTAGCTGTCTAAGATTTCTTACCCTGGTTGGTGCAGCTCATTGACTCTCTGCCATGCTGTGCATTTGGCCTAGGGCTTTGCTAAATGCTTACCTCTACCTTTCAGCTAGGGATGAAGAGGATATTTGTTCTTTGACCCTTTCTGTCACTGGATCAGATGTTGTGCACTCTTAGATCATGATAGTAATCAAATGGCAACAGGTTGTTCACTGCTCACCATGCTGGTCCTTATTTACAGAAGCTGGATGGACACTGGGCAAGGGGCCAGTACTGCAGGACTGTCCTGCCTGTTGATGTGAAACTGACTGATATATTGCCTCATATGGTAGAAGGGGAGTAAGAATTAGCACAAAAACTACAGTCTTGTCAGTTTGGCATAAGTTTCTTGTAAGATGATGGAGTTGATCTGCAGCCAGCTGATGCCATCTTGAGGTGGAGAACCTAAGCAAAAATGACAAGCATGGTTTCCATCTGAACATGTCTTGATCTACCCAATGGCTGTTAGTTACTTGCTAACAACTGTGGAAAGCAGAGCATGATTGAAATCAACCAGCCCATCAGTCATCACAACATCAGAAATCAAGACCTTGCAAAAGCCTTCAACACAGCCCCACCATGAAGACTTAAGAGTCCTGAAGAAGATAGAGGGGCATGACATCAGAGTCGAAATTTCCTCAAATAGAAGAGTGCATTCCTGAAACACAAGTCACAACCACCAGCAGGCTTCTGTTGAAAGCAGAGAGTCAGACCAGGCCCCCTGCACAGAGTAGAGTTCCCCAGGGACCAGCCCTTGCTCCATCACTGTTCATACTTCATGCTGTATGTGAATGACCGGTCTGGCCCGCTGCTGCACTGTCGGTCGTCCCGTCGTCGCATCAATATGTTTACCTACGATAGCAAACCTACCCCAGATATCCGCTGTTCATCTGGCTTGGCTGGTCTGCAAAAGGACCAGACCTGAGCACGACACTCCATTGGGCTGACGGGTGGCAGCTGTCATTGATTTTATCCTGGAATGTGTATGGTGCTCCAGATTTAGGCGGAGGCCACCAGCACTGCAATTACATGATGGGAGAAGCAACCATAATTAAAGAGTATATTGTTTTATGAATCTAGTCGAGATGGGTGAGTGGATGGCTTTAGGCTTGGGTGTGACGCTGAGCGATGCTTGTTGAAAATGTGTCCATGGACCCACCATCCGACATTGGCCGCGCCCAGCTCACCAGTTATGTCGAAAGTTAACGTATCACTGGTAGATGGCAGTTGGCACCGTCTTCCGGGTGTAACTTGGCCCTCTCGCCAGTTGCCAGCTGGCTGAATGTAGAAGCGCGGGTCAAACGACGTTGGAGCTCTCCGGGTTGCGAACTCGCTGCCTGCCACCTATTTACAAGACGGAGGTCTTGTACAGTTGCACCAAGCAGCTCACATGAAGAACAAAGGGATTATACATGGATGTGGAAATGGAGCTTAGAAAGACCAACCACTCCCTCAGCTATCCGAAAAAGAAAACTAAGAAAAAAATATGACGATTGTTCAAAACGTCTCTGAGGGTGCAGCGACTCCCCAGATGAATTCCCAAATGGTGGTCACGCCATCGTCCGATTAAAACTGAGATCGCTTCACGTATGTCCTCAGATCGCAGCTCTGCAGTCGGCGACCCAGTCCGAAGAGCTGCTGAGTCTCCAGGAGGAGAACTCTCAGTTGAAGGCCGAGGTGGAGCGATGGACTAAGGCACTCGTCCAAGCAGAAGAAAAGAATGGAGTAAAACAGGTTAGCTCAAAAACTTGGCATGACACCGGTGTTATTCGGTGCTGATAAACGTTTTTATTGTTCTCATATATTGGTTTGTGGGCAAGGGGCATGCGTGACTTTCAACACAATAACTCCATACTTGTATATTACTTCGATAGCAATATTTTCTCAGCTTGTCTGTGGCAGGTGGATTGAAGAGCAGTAACGCTTTGATCTTGAAACATGAGACGGGTGGTAACTATTTGAACATGGTCCCGTGTGAAAATAATAGAACTGAATGCTGACAATGCGGTGCTATTTCAGGTGCCTCTCCCCGGCCGGAGTGCCGCTCCTGCTGCGTCTGTGACCGCCGCAGCTGCCCCGGCGGCAGCCCCTGCAACAAAGGCGCCCGCCGACACCAAACCCGCCAAAGAGGCCAAGACCGACAAGAAGAAGGCGGACAAGAAGGGCGAGAAGAAGCCCAAAGCTGACGCGAAGGCGGCGAGTGGCGCGGGCGACGCCGACTCGGTGGATATCGGCCTGCTGGACCTGCGCGTGGGCCGCATAGTGACCGCCGAGAAGCACCCGGACGCCGACAGTCTGTACGTGGAACAGGTGGACGTCGGCGAGACGGCGCCGCGCACCGTCGTCTCCGGCCTGGTGCGCTTCGTGCCTGTGGAGCAGATGCAGGACCGCATGGCCGTGCTGCTCTGCAACCTCAAACCGGCCAAGATGCGGGGCGTCACCTCTCAGGCGATGGTGATGTGCGCCAGCACCCCGGACAAGGTGGAGATCCTGTCGCCGCCGGCCGGTGCGCAGCCCGGCGACCTGGTCACCTGCGAGGGCTTCGTGCGCCGCGCCGACGCACAGTTGAACCCCAAGAAGAAGATCTTCGAGCAGGTGGCGCCCGACCTGAAGACGGACGCGGAGAAGCGCGCCACTTATCGCGGGGTGGTCTGGGAGGTGGCGGGGAAGGGTGTCGTCACTGCCCAGACGCTCACCAACGTCATTATCAAATAGATAATTTGTTGTGGAATCGGGAAGTGCTGCTTTCTATCGACTATTTGGATCCATTGTGAGCTTTTGTTTTTTGTTACCAATCTGATGACACACTTGAACAGGTGGACAATAAAAAGTATGCACTACATATGCCTAGGATAGCCGTTTGTCCAGTTTCCACATAAATGCTCGAGACCCTGCAATTATGCCTCATATATTTCGATGCAATGCACCGTGTTGCAGTACATAGGGCGTTGCGTGTTATGAAGTTTGGATACCATAGGTGCAAAATGTGCGACCTGTCCAAGTCGATTATTGGATTGGTGTCACTGACCAGGCGGGTTTACAATAGACTGGTTGATGCTATTTACATAGAGGCATTGAGATTAATCCACGGATTTTTTCGTTTTCCTGAGATATTGCAGTATTTGTTTCCCTAAAAAGTCTTCGCCTTGCATTATCTGTTCAGCGGTTGTGGTGTTTTGTTTACATGAGTCGGATTGACCAAGGCATAGTACAGACACGGTCTTTATTTCTATGCATTGCAGACACAGGGGACTGTCGGCGTTTTCTGTTGATTCTCCTGTTTGAAATTGTTTTGACTTATGCTACAACCTTTGGAAATCTGAAATGGAAAAATCCGCTTCATTCCAAGCATAAGTGATATACTACTTTGGTATATATTTGCTTCTCCGGATCCGCACGTCAGCAGAGTGCGCGAGTTTCTGAACAGGCAGAAGCACGGTCATGCACGGTCATTGGCAGAAGCTTATAATCAAGCTTGGGAATGCACTTTCCTTTTTGTTTTCTATTGTCAGTGAATGGGTTTTCAAATAGTTTTCCCGTGGTAGGTATTTTGCTTATTTGCATTTATTGATACTTTTCTGGGTATTTTGATTCCTGCAGATAATTGCGTTGTTTGTTACAAGTTTGTTATAGGTTTCTTGATTGCATATGAAATGCCAATGTTTCATAGACGTTGAATACTATTTCTTGGCTGCTTGGTGTGCACGGTTTACCCAAATGCCTAGTACAATTTGTTAAAAAAATCACTTGAAATAGGTACCCACTTATGTTATTTGTAAATGTTTTATAGTGTACATTGACATGGTACATAATATAAAATTGTAATAGTAGGAAGGCCTGACTGCAAAATATGGCAATGGCCAATGGGGTTGTTCACGTTGAGATGCACCACTTAAGGTCCATGACGCTTCGCACTAAATGTGCAGCACACCACAGGGTATATACTGCCTTGCACCACAGTAAATTCATGCTGCAATGGACTGGTGGAGTATGCCCTTGCTCTGATGAGATCTTGTATTGATCTTGTAGAGCTTTCCATAGTCTGGTAGATAAGTGCCCCCTAGTTGGTTGTTGCATTTACCTGTCATGTTACTGATTACCTAATGGTTTTCATTTTATTAGCTTAATTGATTTGTTGAATTATCAATGGGCATTAAATTCAATCATAGATGAAAGTTTATGCAAAAACACCATTTCAGTCATGTGCTGGTCTGGAGTCTTGTGGTAGCCTCAGCAAATAAGTATGTTCAATTTTGATTAATGATTAATGTGTTACACTGAAGAGATTCAACACCCTCAAGTCAACAGCAGAAGTTGGTGAAGGAATCAACTTCATACTTCATAGTTAATGATAAGTGTTTAATACATTAGTTACTTAGGTACCTACTCTGTGTTATGGGCACTCCTTACTGTGGGATTGTTTATCAGCATGCTGCCGGCCTAGGTAGGTACCAGTGTTTCTCCGCTTCTTATTGGTGAAATCCATTTGGAGTGTAGAGTTCACCAACAAGAGGTTGGGAAATGTCAGCAACTATCTTCCATATTTGGGAAGTTTGGCAGCCTGCTGAAAAAAATTGTGTCAATCAGCACTCTCCTGCATAGTGTAGCCATAGCCAGCAGTTGAAAATCTACAGACTGACCTCCTCATTCATTCCAGACTGTGAGCTGCATGAGGAATTGAGCCACTTCCACCTGCCGAGGCAGCAGCCATGGAGTCTGCACCTGAGCTGGATGATAATCATGTCGCCGCCCCACCAGTCACTGAGGCTGACTTCACCAGTGTGCTGCCAACTGCCGAGCCAGAGACCTACAGTGTACTCATGCATTCTTCAGAGCCGCTTGGCGGGTTCGTGTTGGCCGACGGCAGCGGCACTGTGCTCGCGCCGCTGCCGCGGTCCGCCGGCGCCGCGCTGAAACCGCCGGTGGGTCTAGACGCGCTGTCGGCGCTGGTGGACGTGGCTGTGGGCCACCCGGGACCGGCCGCCGACCCCGACGACCCGCCGGAGCCGGCCGACAGCGGCGCACAGACGGGCGCCGCCGGCCCGCTGCCGCCGCCCGCCGGTGACCACTGCCTGGTGTGCAACTCGCGCCAGCTGGACCGCCAGCCCGTGTCCGTGTTCGAGGAGAGCGTCCGCTCGTCGACCAGCCTGCGGCCGGTGCTGCACGCGCTGGAGGCGGCGCTGGAGACGCCGCTGGACCCGCGCGTCACGCACAGTCACGTGCTGTGCTCGGCGTGTTTCGAGCTGACGGAGCGGCTGGACCGGCTGAGAGAGGAGCTGACGGAGACGTGCGCAGCCGTACGCCGGCTCTACTGGCAGACGGCTGGGCTCTACTCGGAGCCGCAGCCGCCGGCCGACCCGGAGCCGGAGTCGGCGGCCGAGGAGGCGCGCCGGCGGCCGCTCCGTCCCGCCGCTCAGCACGAGACGGGGCGCTACCGGAGCGCGGCTGGTGGCCGGCGCGCGTCCCCGGCACCTCCGCCGGACCCGCCGCCGGCCACCGAGCCTGAGTCGCCCGCCCAGTGCAGGGACCTGGATGTCAACATACACGTGCATAAGGCCGGGTCGAGGAAACGAACTGCCGCCGCACTGAACGTGAGATACTGGGACACCTCTCCGATTCCTTTTGTTTTTGACTATAATTATGATACCTAAGAGTTGAAATACCGAAACTGTCTGGACCAGGCTAACTTGATGCCATACTGTTGTGCTGTATCATATCCAGTCAATCCATGATTCATCCCCATTTTCGTTTCGATTATACCTTGGACATGCCCTACCCAGTACCCATTCCTCCTGCCCTAACAATGCGTCAACTGCCCCTGAAGTTCACCGAGTGTCTACTCTCCTGTCTCCTGTCCACTTTCGCTCTCCCATTAGCGCCTCCCTGACCCACGCCGCGTCCTCAGGAGGACCGGCTGACGTGTCGCTACTGCTGTAAGAAGTTTCAGCGGCCGGCGCGGCTCCGTCAGCACCTGGCCACGCACACCCCGGAGGGATCCAACAATCGGTGCCACCTGTGCAACAAGACATTCAGCCAGAAGTACTACCTGAGGGAGCACGTTAAACAGGTGCGTGCAGGGTGTAATGGGGCGCAAAGTAGAGTGTCATTGCGACTCTGTGTAAACATTAGTCTTTTGGCTGTCAGCGTGTTAGTGTCTGCTTATATCAGTATGTCAGCAGCGTATGACACGCCGAATGCCGGTCTGTTTTATGTATCAGTGTCATAACTTAGTGTGTCACTGTCGGCAGTGTGTCATCATCTCGCCCCTATTTCACCAGGTGCACGAGCGGCGCAGTCTGCACAGCTGCGACCAATGTGGCAAGGCGTTCATGCGCCGACTCCATTTGGACGACCACATGCGCACGCACAGCGGCGACCGGCCCTACACCTGTGAGGTGTGCGGCCGTGGCTTTAGCCAGCGCGGCAACCTGCGAGCGCACGCCATGGTGCATACGGTCAGTGCGGGGCGAGCGGCGGGCGAAATTCCGTCTTGGATCTCGGGTACACCATATATATTTTGTTTATCATTAAGGCCTTTTGTTGTGGGATGTCGATGGTTCTAAAAATTACGACACTAACCCGGCTGTTTGCTGCTAACTTGTTAAATGCTCGTCGAGTCTCATCTGCGCCCTCCCTACCTCCCTTCCAGGACCAGTTTGCGTTCCAGTGCGACACTTGCGGGAAGCGAGTTAGGACGCGCCAGGCGCTCGAAGCCCACCAGAGGAAACACAACGACGAACGGCGCTTCGCGTGCACCATGTGCAGCGAAACTTTCCTGCTCAAGCGCTCGCTGGACCGGCACAAACGCAAGCACACAGGTCAGTGACTGCGTACCCGCACCGCGACCCGCAGAGGGTGCTTTTGGGAACGGCTGTCCTATGTCCATACTGGCTGATTTAGGACGTGCGGGTTTTGTGGGGCGCCCTCTGGTACGCGTTTGCTCTATGGAACGAATGTTTCGTGACAAACTGACACTTATTTGGTTTATCGATTCAAACTTACAAGCATGTCAGTATTCGCGCAATGATTGCACTTTTTATCGATTTGCAGGATAAACATTCACACCGTCTCTAATCATTCTGATATTGTATTAGCTCATGTTGAATTAGTCTTGAACCACCAGTGCCAGTCTGACCTCCCCCCGTTCATAGACCGACTCTCACGCCCTCGGTGGCCACTGGTCGTTCTATTTATTCTTTCTCTCCGCCTCAGGCGACCGTCCGTTCAAGTGCAGTCAGTGTACGCGGGCCTTCCGGGACCGCGGTGACCTGCGCTGTCACGAGGACACCCACAACGCGTCGCGCGCGCACGTCTGTCCACTGTGCGGCCAGGGGTTCGGCCGGCGGTACAAGATGCAGGCCCACCTGCGCTCGAAGCACGACCGGACCGACAGTCAGGTGCAGGAGCTGTGTCTGCTGCAGCAAACGGCGCACACGGTGAGCGGCCGGAGAACTCGCCGGGTGCGGGTCGGGGGTGGGGTGGTCAGAGTTGGCGGGGAGGTGTAGGAAGCCATGCAGGGGTGCGGAGTGTTGTAGGCTGCGGCTACGGAAGGATGCCGAGATCAGCTGCGTCGCAGCTACAGTTGCCCTCGTCTGATACTGTACTGATATCTGGGAGGCGGCGTCACATGACTGGCCCGTCTGCTCCCCTGTTCAGATGTTGCAGCAGTCGCAGCAGAAGCTGGAGCCCATCACTATAATGGAGATGGACGAGATGGCCGAGGCGGACCACCAGCAGCACACGGCGGCCGCCGCGACCGAGGGCGGCACCGAGTCGCAGACGCAGCATCTGCTGGTCCTGGCCTCCAACGATCCGCTGCCACCCGGCTAGGCAGGACTAGTTACATA